CGAGAAGAATGTGTAGGACCTTATTTTTGGTTATGTGAATTTGACGACTAGGTAGTGAACGAAGCTCCGAATAGCCTTTCTTTGAGAACGACCCAAGTCCGGGTAGCTCGGTTACCACTTACCCAAAAATACTACAAACAAAACACGGTGAATTATTAATAAAAACTACTACATAAAAGTTTTAATGTTCAAAGATAATAAAAATAAAATCCATATTGCATTGAAAAATCCTCCTAATATTTCATTGCTATAACTTTCATTGGAAAATTTTCATTAGCTAATTCAATAGATATCAAATTAAATTATATTAGAATTTTTGTGGATGTAATGATTCCAATTACCATTATTTATTGTTGTGTGAACTTTTATTGGAATTTTTTTTCTTGAAAGGATATGTGGAATTGTTATTTTGAAAAACGTCATTATTTTTAATATAATTTTAATGATAAAACCATCGTATTTAATAGTTTTCATATATAAAAGTTCTTTAAAGAAACAATGAACAAAAACAGCGTAATAAATACTTATAAAGAATCTAAATATTTTTAATTATTGGTTAACTTAAACATCATTGAAAAGAAATGATGCAATTTATTACATATAAAAAAGGTAACAAATAAAAATATTAAGTATTTTAAAATTGAAAAATATAATAGCAGAAAGTAACTAATTTTTTTTAAAAAAAATTAAGATCAATCCCCTTTTTCTCACCTAATACATAATATATATAAAACTTTAAAAATTGTACTTATCGATGTAAACAAGCTAATTTGTTAAACATTTGTTATTTTTTTGTGCTTATCAATTCTAGGTGTAAGTTTCAAGTGATAGACAATATTTATTTTTGCTTTTATCTATATAGGTTGGAACTTTTAAAATTAATATTTGATATTAGTTCTTTGAATATAATATGTAAAAATTTTATATTTCAAATATAAAATAATAATTATTTTCACTATTTAATATTCAATATGTAAGAAATGCAACACAATTTAGAAATTAATAGGTAATCTCGAGATAAAATAATGAGTGATTTCTGAAAAAAAAAATTGGACTAAAAAGCTCACGTGTTTAATATATTTTTAGTAGAAGAATTGTAAACACGATGAATTAACAATATAAACTACTACATAAAAGTTTTAATGTTTAAAGAGAATAAAAATAAAATCCATATTGAATTGAAAAATCCACCTAATATTTCATTGCTATAACTTCCATTGAAAAATTTTTGTTACCTAATTCAATAGAGATCAAATTAAATTACATTAGAATTTGTGTGGATGTAATGATCTCAATTATCATTATTTATTGGTCTGTTAACTTTTATTGGAATTTTTTTTCTTGAAAGGATATGTGGAATTGTTATTTTGAAAAACGTCCTTATTTTTTAATATAATTTTAAGGATAAAATCATCGTATTTAATAGTTTTCATATATAAAAGTTCTTTAAAGAAAAGATGATGCAACAAAAACAGCATAATAAATACTTATAAAGAATCTAAATATTTTTAATTATTGGTCAACTTAAACATCATTGAAAAGAAATGATGCAATATATTACATATAAAAAGGGTAACAAATAAAAATATTAAGTATTTTAAAATTGAAAAATATAATAGCAAAAAGTAATTATTTCTTAAAAAAACATATTAAGATCAATCCCCTTTCTCTCACCTAATACATAATATATATATATATATATATATATATATATATATATATATATGTAAAACTTTAAAAATTATACTTATCGATGTAAACAAGCTTATTTGTTAAACATTTGTTAATTTTTTGGGCTTATCAATTCTAGGTGTAAGTTTCAAGTGATAGACAATAGTTATTTTTGCTTTTATCTATGTATGTTGGAACTTTTAAAATTAAAATTTGCTATTAGTTCTTCGAATATAATATATAAAAATTTTATATTTCAAATCTAAAATAATAATTATTTTCACTATTTAATATTCAATATGTAAGAAATGTAACACAATTTAGAATTAACAGGTAATCTTGAGATAAAATATTGAGTGATTTCTGAAAAAAAACAAAAAAAAAAGGACTAAGAAGCTCATGTGTTTAATATATTTTTAGTAGAAGAATTGTAAACATGATTAATTAATAATAAAAACTACTACATAAAATTTTTAATGTTTAAAGAGAATAAAAATAAAATCCATATTGCATTGAAAAATTGACCTAATATTTCATTGCTATAACTTCCATTGGAAAATTTTCATGAGCAAATTCAATAGAGCTCAAATTAAATTACATTAGAATTTTTGTAGATGTAATGATTCCAATTACCATTATTTATTATTGTGTAAACTCTTATTGGAATTTTTTTTTTCTTGAAAGGATATGTGGAATTGTTATTTTGAAAAACGTCCTTATTTTTAATATAATTTTAATGATCAAATCATCATATTTAATAGTGTTCATATATAAAAGTTCTTTAAAGAAAAAATTATGTAACAAAAACAACGTAAAAAATACTTATAAAGAATATAAATGTTTTTAAGTATTGGTCAACTTAAACATCATTGAAAAGAAATGATGCGATATATTACATATAAAAATGGTAACAAATAAACATATTAAGTATTTTAAAATTGAAAAATATAATAGCAGAAAGTAATTAATTTTCTTTTAAAAAAAATTAAAATCAGTCTCCTTTTTATCACCTAATACATAATATATACAAAAACTTTAAAAATTATACTTATCGATGTAATCAATCTAATTATTTAAATATTTGTTAATTGTTGTGCTTATCAATTCTAGGTGTAAGTTTCAATTGATAGACAATAGTTATTTTTGCTTTTGTCTATGTAGGTTGGAACTTTTAAAATTAAAATTTGCTATTAGTTCTTCGAATATAATATATAAAAACTATATTTCATATATAATAATTATTTTCACAAGTTAACACTCAATATGTAAGAAATGAAACACAATTTAGAAATTAATAGGTAATCTCCAGATAAAATAATGAGTGATTTCTGGAAAAAAAAAATATGGACTAAAATGCTCATGTGTTTAATCTATTTTTAGTAGAAGAATTGTAAACACGATTAATTAATAATAAAAATTACTACATAAAAGTTTTAATGTTCAAAAATAATAAAAATAAAATCCATATTGCATTGAAAAAACCACCTAATATTTCTTCGATAAAACTTCCATTGAAAATTTTTCACTAGCTAATTCAATAGAGACCAAATTAAATTAAATTAGAATTTTTGTGGACGTAATGATTCCAATTACCATTATTTGTTGTTGTGTGAACTTTTTTTGGAATTTTTTTTTCCGGCCATATTTCAAGCGTTGGAGAAAATGTCATTGATTATAAAAATACAATGGAACTTTCATTGAAAAAGCTACTTGCAGTAGCGGATCCAAAATAATTTCATATTAGGAGCACTATTTAGTTAGTAGACAGCAAAATAACGTAATGTCATTACAATTTATAACTTATATTGTTCATAATTTGTCATATTCCTCATTTGTAATAGTTTTTTAACATATCAATATAGTCCCAATAAGTTAAAAAATATTTAAAAACAACATATATTTTCTCAACTCAACATAATAAAATCACCGAAATAACATATATTTTTTAAAAACATTTATTAACGAAATTCATGTTGTAGTATAGTTGACTCGATAATATAATTGATAAAATTATAAATTATGAATATATAATTAAAATTTCACATACATTTAAAAAGGCATAAAAGTATATTTTGATGTTAGAGAAAAAATATATCGTGAAAGAGAGAATAAAAGTTATCATCAAATTTAGAAAAATAGAACCAGAAGGTAAAATTATGAATTTTGATAATTATCATATTTCCTTTAGTTATGATACCGCGTTTTATTGTAGGGTTTCTTGATAAAGTGTATCATGTTATTTTATAAAGCGCACCACTTTGTTTTATAAAGTGGAATATGTAGATATATAAAGTGCACATTTGGGTACGGTAGCATGCTCGTGTTTTTTTGTGTACGGATGATGTGGTGGATGTTAAATTATTGTATGTAGATACATTTGTTAGATTTACGCAAATAATTTGCACAATATCGTATGTATATATACACATTAAAAATTCAAAACAATATTAAGATGTCAATGCGCTGCAAAATGCACATTATTTGTCAACCGATTAACGTTAAAATTACAACATAGTCGGTTAATATAGATAACCAAAATAACCGATATAAATTATATTATTTATTATAGAAAACATGATTAGTATTTAATATTTTTTATTTGACATTTTAATATTAATTTTTTTATTAACAAATTCGATACATATAAACAAAATATACTGTGTAATCTATATGTTATTAAGGTGCAATTCGTCCATCGATATGGTGCACTTTGGTCTGTACAGATTGAACCAACCGAACTTTTATCTTAAATCAAATAAAAAATATCGTAATTAATTAGTTTATTCGGTTCAGTTAACCGAATTATCCAAAATAATCGGAATAGTTTGTTATTTGTATTAATAGTATATTTAATACATTAATTATTTATTATTTTTTATATTATTTTCGGTTGAAAAATTTTGATCGGTATGTTTCGATATTTATTGTGCAATCTGATAGTTTTGATAAAGTGCAGTGTGTTGTTTTCTAAAGTGCAACGTATTGTTTTATAAAGTGCAGCATGTTGATGTAAAAAGGGAACTACTATAATTTCGATATGTTAGCATTCTGGTGTTTCGTGTGGATAACTGATGTGGTTGATATTAATAAAAAAAAACATAAATTTTAAATTGGTAGTTAGAATTTTTATTTTTATCTCATTGGTAAGTTAAAATTAGTGATTATGGTCAGTGACGAAAGATTTTGCCCCAATCCTCTCGCGACGAAAACCTAGCTCTTCTCAGCTCTCGAATTTCCGGCGCATCTGCCTTCCTCGGCGTCGGTACTGCTCGGCTAAGGGTCGTCCTCAACTGTTTGCGGCCCCCTGGCGAGGAGCACCCCTATTACAACTACAGATGGTCCATTGACGGGGCGACAGGTTCGCGGTTGTCAATGGCGTTCCGGACGGTGGCGGCACACCTCGAGATTGAAGCACGGCCGGCGATTGGAATCTTCTTTTCAGTCACTGGAGGAGTTGCGATTTGCGATGGTAAGACCCGTCTTTTTCTTCCCTCCGTCTGTGCAGGCCAGATCTGGTGTTCGCCGGCGGCGCCTCACCTCTTCTAGTGGGGCGGGGCCTGTTGGGTTCGATAGTACTGTACGGGCTGTACACAGCGGAATTTAAAATTTTTAAAGTAATTATTTATCGTATAAATACAACACCTGTACATACTAATTTCGAATTAACTGATCGTCATCTTTAAAACATGCATCATATACAAATTTTGGTTTGTTACTATAAAGTAAATACTAGTAAAATATTTACCGAATGTCTTGAACTCCTTCACTATTGATGATGGATGAGGGAATCAGTTCCCGGTTGTAACTTCAACGACTTGAGGTTACTCGCTAGAGGAATCCAAGTGTCTTCCCTCTAAACGTATCCACCCTATGAAGCCCGGTTCCGACGACTTTCCTTCGCTAGTAGAAAAGACTCGGTTTTCTTGTATAGGAATATTTATGAATTTTATTTGGGAATTTTAAGAACTCTTTCTTGAAATTTTATGAAGAACACTTTCTTCTCTTTCTAACACTTAGAAATTTATGATCAAAACCTCACAAAATGCAAAACCATTTTGCACATATTTATACTAAACATTTTAGCATAAAATAATCAACATTTAGTAATATTTAAATAAAATCAAATTTTATTTAAATAGTATTTACTAACTTTTGACTTTGAAAATAATAAGATATGTTAAGTAGTTCAAACAACCATCAACAACCATTTTATTATAATCATATTTATTATTTTAATC